TTTTTATCTTTTTGTTTTTCTTTTTAGAAATTCTGCTGTAGATCTTATAGAACAAGAATTATTATTCGTTGGTAGTGAAAGAGGAAAACTTTTAGCAATTAGAAATATTATACTTAAGGGTATTGCCCCACCAGTATTAGTATTTGTGCAAAGCAAAGAAAGAGCTCAAGAACTGTTTAGTGAACTTATTTATGATGGCATAAATGTTGATGTTATTCATGCCGATCGAACTCAGGCGCAGGTAATGTTATAAAAAAACGTATGTTTAAAATAAAACAGGAATATTATTATTTTTAATATACTGTATATAAAAATATATTTATTTTAGCGAGATAATGTAGTACGTTGCTTCAGAGAAGGGAAAATATGGGTGTTAATATGTACAGAAATAATGGGTAGAGGTATTGACTTCAAAGGTGTAAATCTTGTTATTAATTATGATTTTCCGCCGACTGTTATTTCATACATTCACAGAATAGGTTCGTATTGTAATTGTAAAAATTACTTGGCAAATAAACAATAATTAAATGTGTACTAATATAAAACTACTAATATATATATTAACATATATAGGTAGAACTGGTCGAGCAGGTCATAAAGGAAAAGCAATTACGTTTTTTACTAAACAGGATACAACAAATTTAAGAAGGTTAGTTAAAAGAACATGATATAGAAATAATATTTTGATTTGTAACTTTGCAATAATAAATTATTACTTATATCTTTTTTTCAATTAGTATTGCAGCAACTATGCGTGCATCAGGTTGTGATGTTCCAGAATATATGCTGGCTATGAAAAAACATAGCAAAAAGGAAAGGCGAAAACTTGAACAAACAGCTCCTAAAAGAGAAACTATATTGACAGGACCGAAACATAAACGATATGACATGGTGAAAAAGCTTACAAACAATAATAAAACTGAAAAGAAAAAAATAGTTTTAAATATTAAAAAAACAGGAAGCAAGAAAAAAGTTATGAATATTAAAAAAACAGGAAGTAAGAAAAAAATTGTGAATATTAAAAAAACAGGAAGCAAGAAAAAAGTTGTGAATATTAAGGAAAAGGAAGGAAAGAAAAAAATTGTGAACAATGAAAAAGCTGCAAAAAATACGCACTGACTATGAACACCGAGATAATGTTAATAGTACTTTATTATAATATGTCATGGAAGTTAGATTTGATATTGATTATATATACATCTTTATAATCAATATAAAAAATAATTTTTGAAATATTCTGAAATAAAAAAATAGCACATATTTATGATTATTAGTATGATATTCTGTCATGTTTCACATAACCAATCACAAGGCAACTTTGGCATCTTATTGGCTGGCCATGGCAGGTAACCAGCAGTTTTAAATACCCAATAATCATAGGACACTTTAGCTATCAGACTTATCAATAATATTACTTCAGTAGCAATTATGTAATAAATATAATCAGTCCAATCTCCAGGATAGACACACATCTTAGATGGCTCTAATTCGATCACTTTTTCTTTTACATTTTCACATAGAACTTCATCTGAGTCTAATACACGCGTTTGCAACCACACCTAGATTATATTTACAAATATCAAATTATAATAGTAAAATATATTAAGATTAATATTTTTCCTTATAATCTTTTCCTTACCTTTAAATATTTAGCAGTATTACAATCACAATGTAATTCATTTCCACCCAGTTTAACCAACCGAGAACTAAAACTTTTATCATATAAATTCAGACTTAAAATATAAGTTGGAAGCTGAAAAAATAAAATGTTGCATAGTTGCAGATAGTGCAAAATTTTCATTCATTATAAATATAATTAGGAAATTATTATTACCGATTTAATTTTATTATATCTTAAACTAAGAAGAGCATAATTGTCTAAAAATTTAGAGCCTTCTAATTTATTGATAGATGATATGTTATTATAGTCAGCATAAAATTCACGTATATCTTCATAACATGGATTGGTGCTCAGATCATCTAATACTGTGATCTATTAAAAAGAATAAAATAAGAAGTACCAATTTTTGGTTTAGTAATAAATATGGAAAAATATTAAATATACATACATAGTTGTAAGAAACATTTAATGCTATAGTGTTACGTGGTAATTTTTTTGGTAATTCCGTTAATTGTATACCACTGCAATCCACGTTTACTGCTAATGTAGGTGGCTTTCCTTCAACTATATCTAATCTCCTAAATTTACATTGACATCGCCAGGATGTACCTTTCGGACATTCTGTCTGCAACTAAATATGAAATAATTTTTATGTGACCCATATTAGAAATAAATATTATATATTTTTTTTATAATAATTCATAGAGGCAATGAGAAATTGTAATGATTAATTCAAAGATTCATGATCACAATAATACATACCAAACTAAGATAACGCACTTGTTGCAGTGGTACTTGTTCTGTAGCATTAAACCAATGCCATGTTTTACTTGCAGAACATACTGTTTCATTTTCTCTATTAAAATTAATTGCTTTATCTTTTTTATTGACATATGGATAAATGTCATGACACCAGAGAGTATTTGTTCCTATAGACGGTAAAATTATTTTCTATTTTGTAATTATTAAACATATGCATTAAAATAATAATATAAAATAACATAAAATAAATGATAGTGAGATAAAAATACGCATTTACCAGAAATATCGAGCCAAAATTCTCTACCATTTATTATATTCAATCCTGGTAGATGCGTTAAATTATTACATGATAGATCCAAAGTAGTAAGCTCTACTAATCTATTAAATGAATTATTGTCAACTTCGACAAGAGCATTGTTAGAAAGATTCAAACATGATATTGGTGTCACCTTAAGGAATTGATTCTTGACACGATTAATTCTTCCATCGGTTATGGCAAATGATTTTAATCTTCTCCATCTTATTTCACTAACATCAATTATGTCCAAGGTAGCATTACGAATATGAACATAAGATACATTTGATGGAAATCCTGGCGACAATCAATTCTTATATCTAATTGATTCATATAAATTCAATAAGACATAGATTGTCTTAAATATATATTTATAGAATTAAAAGTTAACAAAAAAGATAAGTTATGCTCACCAACGCAAGAAAGACTATCATTTAAGGAATTTTGACTATCTATATTACAACAAAATACAGCATCGCTTTCATAATTGTGCGGTAAACTTATTCTCTTGCATGGACAATTAATTTTTGGATCAGGACAATCGGATGGTAGTCGATAAAAACATTGTTCCGAAAGTCCCGAAAAAATGTCTGTAAATCCATTAGTATTGGAAGTACTAGTTGCCTGTTGATCTTCTTCTGTACGTGTATACACCAACCCCACATACAAAAGGTATATTATCACTATTTGGCACTGCATTTGTCCATTAAAAGTCTATTGTTCGTATGAACCTCGTAAAATTTCTTTTCTCTCACACTCACATTCTTCATCAATCTTTATTTAAAAAAATTTCTTCCTTGTGTATTAACAATTTCCTTTGAAAAAAATAATTTTTTCTATTTATTTCATTCTACGTATATATATATATATAAATAAATATTAATATAAAGTATAAATACATATTTTCTTTATCATATTTTTCTCATAGATCGACTAATTCCACATTATTTTAACTTAAAGAATTATTTTCTTTTCCTCCTCTTTTTCTCTCTTCATTCCCCTCTTCTTTTCTCTAAATATTATTTTTACGATAATATTACGGATATGATACATGCATATACGCAAATACGTAATACATAGATATACATAAGACTCGTTTACACTTACTGATAATACTCGTGATGAGTAACTAAAGAGACAAATGTATTTTTTTGTTTACGAATTATCATTTTTATTATTCTACTAGTCATACTTTTCTTTGGTTATAATTATTACTGTTAATATATTTATCTATTATAAAATCTTAATAATCATTTATTTAAATCGTATACTTATAAATATTTTCTACCGTTACCAATCATAGATATTCATTGATGTACATGAAAATAACATTTCATCTTATTCCCTCTATTTTATTTTCTTATATATTCTTTTTTTCCCCTCTTATTATTTATTTCATATTATTACATTTTTCCCGCCGTATGAAAACTGGCCCTACTGTAAATCGATATGTTACTAATATCGATTATCGATTTTAATTTTCAAATTATCCGGATAATATATTTATATTTATTATTCATTTAATTTATTATATTTATATTTATATAAAAATTAAATAATACGACATAAAATTTGATTAAATCAAGTCAATTTCATTTAGTAAAGAAAAAGATTCTTATTTTATTTTTATATAANATATATTATTTATCAAGATACGTTCAAAAGTATTATGTTAATTAATAGAATAAATGTATAATATATATTGCTTGTTTTTATTTTTAAATAATAAAAAGAATTATAAACAATTGTGTGAGCACATTATTTATAATATCTTTTCATTGCATTGATAAAAAAAGGTTATCGAGCTCTTCGTTTATTTTGTGACTGACATAAACGAGTAAATTCATTTAACCGCGAAGACTTTTTAGGTCATTTGAATTGACCCTTTAACGAACTAAAATTAGTCAAAGTATTATACTTATTACGCTCTCTTCTTGCAACTGGAATTGTATCTTGTTGCATGAATCACTGTTTCTTTTTAAGATTATTTGTTATGCATTAAATGCGCGGATATATATGATAAACTTATGTGTAGATCATATCTGATTAATTATGTACATATATATTCACAATGCATTTATTAATCGCATAACGCATTTATAAACTTAACTCTCTCTTTTTTCTTTGTTAATTATTATTTATTAGATATTTTTATAATACTAAAAATTTTGTTTATTGTATAAATGAAATATAAAATATAAAATATAAAATATAAAATATAACACATATATATATATATATAAGAGTATTTTTAACTTATGTGTTTTATCTTATTAAAGAAATATACATAATAAAAATGAAAATATTGAATATATGAAAAGTCATATGAAATAAATTTATTAAAAATATAGGCACCCCAGGCAAAATAATATTTACAAGATTATGATTTGTACAAAGAATATCTGGAAGTAACATTTAAAGGCACGGTGATCTTATTTCATCTCCATGGTTTCCTAACTGTTCCTGCACTAGTACTTCTTTTAATAGTGTGATCTATAACATATATATTATATTTTATTTATATCAACTTATTATTTATTATTTATGATTCATGAAACAATAAAACAAATAACTTACGCGTATTTGGCGATATAAGATGCTGCGAAATTTCAGAAGTCCAAGTTTGGCATCTAACTCTAGATGAATGTAATTGAGTTATAATTGGTGATTTGTAATCTTTCATCCTAGAAGAGCATTAATAAAAAATAAAAATATTATTTTATTATATAATACACACACACAATAGTATACATACAGTATAATATAGTAATAATATATAAATATAATAATATATAAGTATAGTATATTGTACATATTATATATTCATAGGACTATATACATATATAATATCCTATCAATAATTCTTCTAAGTTATTTTGTAATTCATGCTATTTTATGATTTAAATAATATAAACAAAAGTTCTTTTACAAAGTAGATAATAGTATAACATTTAATTTAAAAATATTCTAAAATAATTGAATTATCTACTAATAAAAGTTTATTGGAAAAATATGAATAAATAACGTTCTATAATGATATTTAAAGAAAATCTATGTATGCTTTTCTAGGAGATAAGAATATGGAAAGTGCTATATAATACAAAATCATACTCTTTGAGCTTTTTCCTTGCTAGGGTCCTCTGGGTAGCAAATGAGTATGATCGTGCTGAAGTTGGACGTTCAGTGCGACACCGTTTAATTTCACGATCATGCGCTATAATTTTCATTTTGTATGCAGGACTTTGAGAAAATAATTCCACTATATTCATGGATGCTGCATCACACTTTTAAAAATAAGAATTTTGTAAATATATGGATCTACCAAAGAAATACATGCAAATCTTAAATATTCAGTACTGTTAATACTATAACAGTACCCTTATAGAATTGTAATATAGATACTATATTTCAACGAATTATTAGAAGTAAATTCTATATATTATTTTTCACTTTGAAAAGTAATAATTATCTAAATATATGTCAATTAACTAGCAACAAGCATTCACAAGGATTCTTATCACTGTAAATGTAAAACAAATGTTACCTGTAATTGTAAACGACGTAAAAAATGCAGTTCTGATAAATCAAGAGGTGCATCAACATGTAGTTTAAGCATACATTTCAATGCTTCTTTGTATGTATTTTTTAAAGTGATCACACGATTTGTTTTAAATAACCTGCGTACTAAATACCCCCGTGTATATGCATTGATAATAGATGCAGCTTGTATCTGTAATATAGCTTTTTTTAATTATTCAAGGATATTTTTATTAGATAAAATATATCAATTTGACAAAGAACATTCTTTCTTTTTACATCTTACGTGTTTCTCTGCGTACATAGAACTGTCAATGATGGGAACATGTACGGTTTTACAGTCTAATGGAAATAATCGACGACTAATTGTAGACTTTTTATTCTCATTTATTACGCTTGTATTATAATCACGCATTTCATTCTTATTCGTATTTTCTTGTATTTCTTTATTTTTAATCAATGTACAATTGTATTCGTGCGTTGAAATTTCGTTGGATTCTCTCTGCGATGATTGAATGAATTCATAACATTTTAAATGTTGTTTGGTATCATTAAAATCATTTTTGGAATAAATATAATTCACTGGACATATAGGACTTAACGTACGTTTGTTTGGTGACAATAATACATCGTCTTTTGGAACGACAGACAGTTCTTTTAAATCTTTATCTTGTTTCGTTTTATTTATGGGAATGTCTTTAGAAATAGAATTATTTCTTGACTCAGCTTGATCCAACGTAGTAGATGACAAATATTTGTCATCTATTAACGAAGAAATTTCAGGAAAAGATTTCTTTATTTCTGCTAATAAAAGTAATTGTTGCTTTTCAAATTCTTTCTGCAATGAAGATTGCTCTTGTTGTTGCCGAATGACTAATTCAGACATCTGTCTTTTATGTACTTCTTCTATTTCTTTCAAGATAGTCAATAATTTCTCAGATATATTGGGAGACTTAGATTTTCCTATTGACTCATTTATCTTATCATTATTTGTGTTTTCTTCCTCAAAACTTTCATTTTGTCCATATGTCTTTAATATTTGTGACTCATTAATCTTGTGCATTTGTGTTTCAATATCATGCAGATTTCCTAGTGAGCCTCCTAGTTTGTTAGTCGTATTTAGCATTGAAATGTTTTTACTTTCCTTCCATTCTTGTGGCCTATGATTTTCTTTGTCATTATTGCTTATACTATATTTCTTTTTATTATTATTATTTTTTATGTCAGGCTTGTAAATATTTTCTTTCTCAAGCATCATTTGAATACTATCTACAGATCCTGTAGTTTGATACATGCGAGTTTGTGGTTCCAATATTGTTTGTTCACTTTCAGTCTTATATAAATTATAATTACTTTTGCTAGATAAACTCTTTCTTTTACACTTTGAATTTTTCAATGTCTGCTGAGTATCCATGGCATTAAATTCATTATTTTTCAATTCACTTATCCAGTCAGTTTTTGTATGTGCAATATTCCATTCTTTTCGTCGCACACTACTTTTTGCAGGTGTAGGGATATATTCTGCAGTAGGAATATCATTGATATTATTTAATTCTATTTGCATATGTGCAAGCAACATAGGACTTGGAGTGTCCAAAATATAAGAATCCTGACGCACTAATTTTGGTGTTCGCTTAATAGTATTTGTTTCATTTATCACTGAAAATTCTTCTTTTTGATATGAATTTGAATCATTCAATGTAATAGGGACAATATTTAATGTTTTAGGCACTTCAGGTTTCCAATTATCTAACATTTTTTGTTCGACATTTGATTTAGTTGTATCAATAAGACTTTCTATTGAATCAATGCTTACAACGGTTGATGTTGGACTAAATGACTGCCCTTCTGTGAAATTAGTTTCACTATTTTGATTGGAAGATATTTCTTGTACTAATTCTGAATGACTACTTTGTTTGTGAACATATATATCTACATTTTCATTTGTTGTAATATCATATGTATTTTTTGTAGATAATTGATCTCCATCGATATTAGGCTCTGCATTAGGAGTTATATTTTCATTACCAAAATGAAATTTCTGATCAATTTCCTGTACTTCTGTATTATTTTCTATGGATTGACTTTCTTCACTAAATTTTCTATTGTACAAAGCTTTTAATCTTTTTTCTACTTGAATTGCTAAATATTTATAATATTTTACTTCTTTTCTAACATCTTCAGTTATCTAAAAATTGAAAAGGTAACAAAAAATGTATATTTAAAAATTTTATATAATAAATAATAAATTGTATATTCTAAATTAATTAAAATTCACATTAATAATAATAATAATATATTTACCATCGGTGGAAGAATAGGAACACCATTAATTTTTATGCAAGAAATATATGTTTGTTGCGCCATTTTTTTTTTTATTTATTTAATAATTTAATACAGNTGTAAATAATAATAATAATATTTATTCATTCGCCTAAGGTTATAACAGTCGAAAATGTATACTTCCATATATATGAATTGATAATTACTAATAACTTCGATATTAATATAGATTATTTATAATAATATTAACAAACATAGAAACAAATCATTCAAATTTCGAGTAAATAACTTGGATACAATAAAAATACGAATTATAAAATATCTATGAACATTTTTACTTAGGATTGGTCAATATGACTTTTAAAATCTGTTTTCAAATAGGAGAGTAGTCAGTAGAATTGTAAACTTCTATCGTCTTTTTCTTTTTATAAAAAAAAATAGATTTATATGTGAAAATAATAATAATTTATAATTTATAATTTTAAAAAACCGAAGAAGAGATTAATCTTTCGATTAATATATATATAAAAGTAAACATTTATAACGTTAGAAATTCGCCTTCGTCAAAAATCTTTACTGTACGACATTTCATTTAACATTACAATTAACAGTCTCATTTTATTGTATAAATAATAATGTTTAGAGTAAATTTAAGATTAATTTATAAACACTTTTTTCGAATATATGAAAAAAATACATATAAGTACACAACTGAAATAATCTTTGCTATATTACACTACTGCTGTACAATTAGTTCTTTACTGATCCGTACAGTACGCTCTTTTCGAAGTGCTAGTTAATTTATTTTTACAACTATTGATGGAAAGTAAATAATTCCAACAGATCAATATTATAACATTAAATTAGAATATTAATTATTATTAAGTAGCCCATTTTCGTTATTAATATTGTTTTGCTTTTTGTTTTAATATCTATTCACATTCCCATATTGAGGTTAAATTATATATTATAATTGTAATACTGTTTGTTTTTTTATACACAATATATAGAATATTTCGTAACAATTTATTATATATAAAATGTTTATATAATTATTCATTTTAAACAATAATTGTTGTTTGAAGCATATAATAATGTGTTATGTAACTTTGTTAAATTATCTATTTCTATATATAATTATTGATCACAATGTCATGGTTAATAATTTATTTTCAATAATCTAATCATATATTTTGTATTTTTACAGTTTGATGGGTGCAACTAAATTGCTCGGGTATTATATCAAGAGATATTGTTTGATAGTATCAATACCACTAATTACATTGACTTCTATATATTACGATCAAAAGCGTACTCGTTGGTGGAAAAATCAACAGTTACTTGAGCAGCAACAAAATAGTTAAGAAGTAAACTAATCAAGATGATAACTTTGAAATATCTGGTCAGTGTATATTATCCAGTAGTGATTCCTATAAGCGGATTTATATTTGGAAGTATTTTAGACCATTATGACAATTTAAGATTAACTAAATTCAGAGATAAATCTGCTTTATACGGAAGGGAACTTGCACCTGGAGAACCACCTTCGTGGCCATAATTTAGAATAACTATGAACATATTTAATTCAAATGTGTATTACAATTAAAACCTTTAATCTATGTAGACGAATTCAAATATAGATTTAAATTCATCTCTAAACGATTATACTATTTTATATAAGAATGTATTTATAGTCTAGTATTGTAATTTTATTTTCCTTTTTTTCTTTTTTCCTCAAATTTTATGTTAACTAAATAATCGGTATACTTAAAATAAATAAGTATTTAAAAAATAGTTATTATATCAATATTCTATTTTTAGATCTACTAGTTTTTTCATACATAGTTTTTAACTTGTAATCGTTGATTAAACTGAAACAATATTGGCTAAAGTATTACACCCAAAAACATAATTTTGTGCGTGATGCAAAATAATTAAAATTAGCTAGGTATAATGGCTAGATAATATATATAAAGTAATATAATAAAAATTCTCTTATATTATATATTAGCATTTAGAAATATAATATTATAAGATTAAGATAATTTAAAATGAGTATGGACTCATAAATTGAAAAAATAAACTCATAGATATTTTTTAGGTAATTACATTTATTTCTAGCAAATGTAAAGTATCTATTTGAAGACATACAATAACAAATATTGAAGAAATATTCTCAATTGTCCCCAAAGAAAATACCACTGATTACTACTATGTACATTTACTAGAGGGTTTGTAGATGGCGCTTGTGAAACGGCTTTGTAATCATTCATTTTAAGAACTATTTTTTTTAAAACATAAATTTTTAAATTACTAAATCATAATATCTATCCTTTTAGAATCAAATATTAGTTTTTATGAAGTATATGAAATTATTTTTTGTATTATTTATAATATAAAAGAAATTAATTTAATTTTGATTGATATATTAGTAATGCTAAAATGCGCGCGCATATCGACTCAGATAATACTGATTACGAAATATCCTGTGTTCTCAGTGCTGTCTACAGAAAGTGTCTATATCACGAGTAATAAATATTTTTTATTTTTGTTACCAAAAAACATTAACGGTAGATTTAATTTTAATTACTAAACTTAACCTTATACAAAAATATAATTAATGAGCTTATTATTTATTATGTCATATATCTTTAATTTTAAGAACCAATTAATAACGCAATATTACTATTGTTAAGAAGAATAATATCATATAGTGGTATGGATAAAAAGAAATTAGATATATATTCATAGAAATTAATAATTGAAATTATTACATAAAATTTACTTAGGTAGTTATTAAATATAATATAGCTACAATCTATTAAGTTACTAGCAAAAATTACAATTGAATATATATATATAAGAGAAGATGATATTTTTACAAATTATTATTATCACCAAAGAAATCATATATATATTTACATATATATATATTTTTCATGAAACATATGATAGATATGACATAGAGTGTATACGTTACTGTCCTAACCGGTGATGTTAGTTTCCTATTGGTTATTACATTATTGCTTGATGTCGTTTCACGAAATGGCGTTGGTTTGAAATTTGGGTGGGAGAAACTATACCAAGGGGAAAAGTGGGAAAGGAGAAGAAGTAGTAAGGCATTGATGAAAGCGAAATCGGCCATTTGCTAGGGATTCTTTAGTTAGCTAGGCTAGGCGATATAAACGTCTTGTTCGTATCTCTTCTATCCCCTCGTCACCATATTGTTAACGAAAAAACTATTTAGTGATTTTGTGTTACAATTTTGAATGTTTCTTGATTCGTAAGAATTTTGAATTATAGCGGCGATTACATTTTTTACAGAATGGGAGATAAAGAGTCTGCAACTATGTTAGCTATTAAGGCCACAATACGCGCTAATATGCTTGATACAGCACCACGATTAACGCCAACAGGAAAAATTAGTCATGCCAAAACTCGCGTTTATACACAACGATATCGCAAAGATTGGGAACAGATGCCGGATTTTAAAGGTACTTATTTAAATTTGAAGAAGTTCTTTTAATAGGGTTAATTATCTTGTTTAACATTTTTGGTTAATTTCGTGATTATATCGATCAGTTCACGAAAGAATAATTATTGTTGAGGAATAAGTGCAATTGAATAAAAACATTTTTGTCCGTTTACGAAAGTAGCTCTGATTATTTTTAGAGATACAATTGCAAAATTTTCCTTGCTTTCTCGAATAGGTATTTAATCTAACCAATAGTCTGAGGCCTGTGTAATTATAGAGATAAAACGGTTTCTTCTAGTTGTTTGTTGATTCCTCCAGTAGTAAATAATTTCTTTAAGGCTATTTCCGTTATGTTTTGAATCTAATCATTATAATGCTTCACAGTTATTATTATAATTATTTGTTTTGTTTTTCTTTTTCTCTAAAGAATGAAGATCGTCTACTAAAATATAACGTAAATTTATTAATATAAATAAAAGAATGTTTCTTTAGTATTCTTATTAGTTACTTTATAACATTGTTGTGTAATTGTTTAAATCATTGGTTCTGATTAAAAATACAAGGAATAGGTAAACGTGAATAACATATCAATTACAATCTGTTTTATTACAGGATGGTTGACGTCAGTATCAAATCAACCTACACGTGCTTTTTGCCTATATTGTCACAAAAATCTTCATGCTCATCGACTATCTCTTTTAAAACACACATGTACTATGAAACATCAACGAGCAGCTTTGTCGCATCTTGTGGAAAAACACAAAAATATAGAAAATAACAAATGTGGTACTATGGTTGATATGAAAGTTGAAGAAAGCAATGTTGTTGAGGTATAGATTTGTTAGATATTTTTAAATACTCATATATATATAGGAAAGATATTATATTATATATTTTATATTATATTTTTAGACTCTTGAAAGTACACAAGTAGAAACTGAAGAAAATGAAGATGACAATGAATATATTGTTGAAAGATTAGATGATGTAGATGATGATGTAGAATTAAATGAAGTACAAGAAAAGCAAGAAGAAGAGGAAGAAGTAGAATATGCAGATGTCGAAGAAGATGAACATGTACATATACCCTCTGATGAGGAAGATATTAAGCATATGAACAAAAAAGTTAAATTAGAATACGTGGTGAGTAGAAATTTAGAATCTAATTATTTGAGTTATTATATCATTAAAATATGTTTAAAAAAATAATATGACTACATATAAAGATTGTTGGTAGGAGGATTTTCAGGAAAATAGTAGGGATACTTTAGCAGAAGCAATGGCTCATGTACATGGTGAATATTTAGATGAAGTTGATGATCAAGAAAATATTCAAATGGAAATGATAGTAGAATCTGAAGATCAAAACGTTGAAATTCCAGAAATTTCAAATTTTACTAAAACTGTAGATAATAATAAAAAAAGGACAGAGGAACTTGAGAATAATAGATCTATTCTGCGTAAAATTAAACATGATAAGAGAGCAGGACTTAAACTATCGGTATTTACAGTAATAATATAATAAATTTAATTGATTATATTTTGTTGGCTCTTTCTTATTCATTTATATTTTAGCAAGAAGATACAAAGTCTCAAACAGATTCAGGACTAGTAATGACATGTCCCTTGCCATTATTGGGTACGACGACTTATCAAATAAATTCTTCAGTTGCTGGAACACCTACTACAATAGGGGTATTACAGCCAGTAAATACCCTTCCAATAGCACCGACGCAAAATAAAACAATTACTGTAACATCAGGTGGTAAAAAAGTAACTTTAACAGGTGGTCCTTTTCAACCCGGTACTCAATACATACTCAGTAAATTAAAGGGCAAGTTACCATCATTAATTATGACAGAAAAGACATCAATTAGTGCCAATAAGCAAGCTAACAAGTCATTACAAATAGACAAAGAAACACAAGAACAGTCGGTTATAGCTAGCACCAGTCAATCACTTCCAAAAAACGTATGTGAGATCAATTATTTCATTTTTAATATCTTAATACATTTAAGCTAATTTATATAAATTCTTTTTTTAATAGCATGTTATTTTGAAACCTGTTCAACTTGCAACAAAGAAGCCACGCGTTTCTACTTATGTAATTGATACCAGTAAAGGTGTTCCTGTTGTAGGATTACAAGTTAGTCTCTATAAACTTTTGGATGGCAGATGGACATTTTTAACCGAGAGGTATTATTTATATAAAATATTTTTTATCCACAAGTTTTGGATTATTAAAATAACATAGAGATAATAATTGGATATAAGTTTATTAAAAATAAAATTATATGTTTGCAGCAATACGAGTACCGATGGTAGATGTGCAAATTTGTTAGAAAAAGCGAAAGTCAATTTTACTACTGGTAGATATAAGATACATTTTGATATTGACAAATATTTCACTTTTAGAAAAATAGAGACTATATATCCATTTATAGAAATTGTTTTTGATGTAAAAAATCCAATTGGTCATTATCATATACCGATATTGTTAAGTCCATTTGGATACAGCACTTATCGTGACACTGATAGCTGAGTTGTAATCAAAAGTTGTAAATATTTTTTTAATTTTCTTAATAAATAATGAGTAATATAAGACATATATGTGACGATAATTAAGACTTTATAAAATTGAAAAAATGGATAATTTAATTTATATAAGAAAATACATTTTTGGATTTAATTCATTGTCATAATTATCAACACACAAATATACGTATATTATGTATATATATATATATATATATACATAATATACGTATATATATATATATATATTATATATATATATATATATATATACATATATATATATATCTCTTAAACTTAAGTTAAAGATTTAAAAAAATTATATGTAAAATATCTTTATTTTGTTATTTACAAATATGTATATAATTAATCGTAATATTTGTGATTTACTTGTTAAATAGTTCGCAACAGTGGGATTGGTATATCTAAGTTTAATAAAAAACTGGGGTAGAATAAAGACTAAAATTTCTATTTTACATGTAAATAACATTATAAATAAAAAAAGATTTATTAATGCATAACATATATTCCTATCTTGCTTCCTTTTTGTGTGTGTGTTATACACTACAATCAATACTCCTTAAAATTTGATTGAGACAAGTTGTAATTAACAAATTCTCTAATGATTCATTTTTATAACTTAATATTATGATTAAATTCAAAAATATTCGAACAAGAATATACCAATTTAATTATTATTAGAAGAAAGAAAACAAGAAAAACTTATATTAATGTAATATTTTTTTCAAATATACTCTCTATTATTAGTAGTTAATTTAAAAATATGAAAAAACTGTTACTTTACACGTGATAGGTTTTTTTTATTACCGATAGATGGTTACTGCAATGGCGGTCTAGTGAAGCTGTTTATGTTATTGAATTGTTTTGCAAAGTCTTGTAAAGTTGTTATGGATTTGAATCATAATATATTGTGTTTGTGAATTCTTAAAGTAAAATATAATTAAAAATGAATACTCCACCACCTAATAAAAAAAAGAGAAATAGACTTGGTGTTCAAATCGATTCTACAAGTATTACAAATAATGAAGTATTAAATGTTCAAGAAGCAGCAAGGTTTATTTTGGTATGCACAATTAATTATTATTTTTTAACGTTATTTACGTAGTAATTAAAAAATAAATATCATTTTTCGTTTATCAATTAAAACATAAAATATGCATAGTATAGGTTATATTAATTTTCAATGTTTTTAAAAACTTAATTCTATGATTTCTGTTTACATATATATTTTAATGTATTATGAACAGGTACATCCCATAGGTGAGGATAGTAATAAGCCAGTTAAAATAGATATAAACGAACCAATTCCTGTTATAAGTATTAAAAGCAGTGCACAGGATGAGAAAACATCTTCAAAGGAAAATTCTAATTTAGATAAAGAGAAAGAAGTTCTTAATAATTTACCTATAGCAAAATTTAGAGAAATAGAAGGATATGAAGAACAACTTGGAGAGGCCGAGCCTCTTCCAAATTCTTACGTTAGGTTTATGGAACGCAGTGGAGAAGAACTTGATGGTAACTATGATCGATAATCATATTTAATAACCAATTTTTTTGCTTATTAAGAAATTATCCAAATATTATAAAATCCTGTATATAAAATGTAGAATAAAATAAAGAATATATTATCTTTATAGGAGAAGTAGAATATGATTTGGATGAGGAAGATACCGCATGGCTATCTATAGTGAACGAAAGGCGAATAGCCTCAGGACTTCTGCCTCCATTAGAACCAGATATATTTGAATTATTAATGGATAGATTAGAAAAGGAATCTTATTTTCAACAAGAAAGTAATGGTGGAGTTGGTATTGCCGCTGATGAAGATGCAGTATGTTGTATATGTATGGATGGAGAATGTCAAAACAGTAATGCTATTTTATTTTGTGATATGTGCAATCTTGCTGTCCATCAAGATTGCTATGGTGTACCATATATTCCTGAAGGACAATGGTTATGTAGAAGATGTTTACAAAGTCCATCCAGAGCTGTTGATTGTGTATTATGTCCAAATAGAGGTGGTGCTTTTAAACAGACTGATCGTCCAGCAACATGGGCTCATGTAGTATGTGCTTTGTGGATACCAGAAGTAAGATTTGCTAATACAGTTTTCCTGGAACCAATAGATAGCATAGAAAGTATTCCTGCAGCTCGTTGGAGGCTAGCTTGTTCTGTTTGTAAACGTAGAGGTGCAGGTGCATGTATTCAATGTCACAAAACTAACTGTTATGCAGCATTTCATGTTACCTGTGCACAACAAGCAGGCCTTTGTATGCGTATGCGAACAGTACAACCTGCTAATGGAGAACCAATGCTTGTTCAAAAAACAGCTTATTGTGAGACACATACACCAGCAGATTATCAACCTTCTACAAATCCTGCTGATGCAAGACGAAGAGCAATAGCTAATAAAAAGAGTTCATCTGCGCCAGTTATATCAATACCTACGATACCACCTGAACGTATAAAAGAAATTGCTAGGTAAGACATAGGTGCAATCCTTTATTTCCTAATTTTTTCATCCATAGATAATCATGGTTTATGAAATATAATTGTGAATGAATAGTAATTTAGAAAACATTAATTAGTTTAGCAGAAGGTATCCCAAAGAAAAGCCAGTTGATTCAACGTCTTATAGCATACTGGACACTGAAACGTCAATACAGGAACGGTGTTCCTCTTCTAAGAAGATTGCAAAGTTCGCATCCACAATCAAGACCTCCTCCATTAGGAGGTAATTATTCGCCATCTCCAGATAGTGAATTACGCGGAGAACTTTACCGTCAACTTAAATACTGGCAATGTTTACGACAGGATTTAGAACGTGCTCGATTACTATGTGAATTAGTACGGAAACGAGAAAAGCTGAAGAAAGAATTATTTAAAGTGTTGGTACTTTTTATATTACTTTTTAAGCAATATTTTTTGATTTAATACTGTTTAGAATAATATAAAAATATTACAGGAAAGAAAAATGTTTATGGTTTGAATTACGACCTTTAGAAAGTATTTTGATTATGTTATTAGAAGCTATTAAATTAAGAGATGTCAATGATGTATTTGGTCAACCAGTTAATATTAAAGAAGTTCCTGATTACCTTGACATAGTTTCACATCCAATGGATCTTTCTACTATGCAAGTAGGTATATATATATCCACTTTGTCGTAACATTTTTTTGCGACACCCTATATATATATATATTTATTGTATGTGTGTAGTGAATATTATTTTAATTATATTTTTAACAATTATTTTTATACATTATAGAATAAAATCGACAGACAGGAATATGACACTATTGGTGCTTTTGAAGCAGATTTTAACTTAATGGTTAATAATTGTTTGGCTTATAATCGTAAAGATACTATGTTTTATAGAGCAGGATTGAAAATGAAAGAGCAGGGTGGTTTCCTTATAGAACAAGCTTGTAAAGATTATCCAGAACTTAATACTCTTTGTCAAACAGAGCCAAGTGTTACTAAATCTAGAAAAAGAGATAGATCTAGTCGTAATCGCAATGAAATAGAATTAAACACAGGAGAAAAAGAAGTAGGGGCTGGTGGTGTCAATCGAAGAACAGCTGTGCTGTTTACCCGTAAGGCCAAAGCTCGTGCTAGCAGAAGCGGACAAATGTTTCTTCCAGAACATAATCAAAAGAAACAAAGCGATAGTTTCAAAGTGTACAGGTAAATAATTTTACATAAATTATTATATGTGTATGTGGAAAAGGCTTGGAGAATAAAAATAGGATGATTTGTATATTTAATTGTATATAACAGTTCTCTATACGAAAACTTAATTAAATTTACAGAAGTGGAACAATGGATAGTGATGTTGGTGAAGGAGAAAGTCAATCATCAAGTTGTAGTAGTTGTTCAACAAGCAGATCTGCTACACCAGAACAAGAAGAAGAAAAACAGATATTAAATACTAGCGAAACTAATACAGAAACTAATAACAAAGAAGAAAGTAATGAGAATATTTTAGAAGCCTTACAGCTTGTATGGGCCAAATGTCGCGGATATCCTTGGTATCCAGCTCTAATTATAGATCCTAGTACACCTCGTGGTACCGTACATAAAGGTGTGCCTATTCCAGCTCCTCCTGACGATGTATTAGCGTTAGCAAATAATTACAAAGAACCAGTCTTCCTTGTTCTTTTCTTTGACACAAAACGCACTTGGTAAAGAAAAACTTAATAATATGATATATTTGTTCAATAAACATAATTATTTCTATATTATTATTATTATTATTCACTTTATGCAGGCAATGGTTACCTGGTGAAAAATTAGAAAAATTAGGTGCATCTAAACAAGTTGATGCAGCTAAATTAATTGAATCCCGTAAACCTGCTGATAGAAAAGCTGTAAAAAAGGCCTATCAAGAAGCTTTACATTACCGGAAACAAACACATGATACTGCATTAAATCCACCATCAAACGTGTAATTTATGTATCTAGTAGTATTTTGGAAGTATTCCAATTTTTTATAAATTTCAACTTGTTCTATGAAACATTGATTACGACTTATTTTTAAAAACCATTTAATAATTATATAGGAATATAGTAATAAGTATGTATGTATATTTAAATGCTTTATATATTTAAGCTTTTTAGCTTAAATATATACTTTACTGGTTTTTATATTTTATTTAAAATATACATAGATTAATAAAGTGAAAAATTAAATTCATACAATACCAATATTTAATTATGTTGAACAATTTTATCGAGTTCATTAGCATACATGTCTAGCCGTTGGGTCATCTAAAAAAAACATATATAAAATATTAATTTATTTTTGTAAATAATGAATATACATTGTACATTGCATGCATTTGATACTTATAAATTAGTTACTATTTGGAAATTGGTATATATTTCTATAAGAAACAAGTACTTACTCTAAATCCCCACAAATCTTTTGCTTGTCTGCAGAGATTGAGATCCAAATCTGCAATAAGTAATCCATCATTAGATCTACTTAAACCTGGAGTACGTGTTCCGTCAGGCGCAGTAATATAGGAAGAGCCATAAAAGTGTCCTAAATCATAATGAGATGGTTTTCCATCACCCGATGTAAATTTATTAGGAAATATTTCAGTCCCAACCCTATTGATGGCACACGTAAAATAGTTATTAGCAATTGCAGCACATCTTGCTTCTATAGGCCATAAAGGTTCAGATAAATTACCAACAGTGGCCGATGGATTAAAGACAACCTAAATATATATGTTATAATAAATATATGTTTGATTTAAGTTGCAGAAAGAAAAAAATAATAATATATTTACTTCTGCTCCTTTTAATCCAAACATAAGCCAGTTTAAAGGATGATGACGCCCATAACAAATATTAACAGCAATACGCCCGTAACAAGTATCAAAAACAGGATGTCCTGTATTTCCCTCCATATAATAAGTAGATTCATTGAAATCTCCAACACGAGGTATATGATTTTTTCTGTGTTTACCAATAATTTTACCATCAACATTAATAATAACAGATGTATTCCATAAAGTATCTCCATTAACACTATCCCTTTCCAAAATTGGAGAAATAATAATCATATTATGTTCTTTTGCTAATTTTGATAATAATAAACTTGATGGACCATTTTTAGCATCTTCGGCGAACTCACACCATGGATATTTTTCTCTTGTACAGAAAGCGAATGGCATAGCTGTAATATAATAACCATTTTATAGAAATTATTTCAATATAAATAATGAACTCTATATTGAGATATTGCTTTATAAAAAGTCTTATATATACACATATAATATATAAACGTACTCCAAGCTTCTTGTAGACAAATTATATTAACTTTGCAAGTAGCTGCATAATCAATATATTCTTTTATTTTATTATGTATCGCATTCCTTTGATTTTCTACTGGATCTGTTGTTGGTAGAACAATTGAATGTTGAATTAATCCTACACGGACAATGCGTTTAGGACGTAATTGTTCTTCAACAATACTATCTAATATCCAACCTTGTCTTTCTAAATTGTTACTTTTTTCCCATTCTGGTAAATCTAACTTTCTATATTAACAAATTATAATATTTTTATTTTACTTATGTTAACTGAACAAATAAATACTTAATATAAATAAAATATAACCTATTATTCTTGAAATATGTGCAGATACATTACTTAAGTAACAAAATACAAATTTTAATTAAATCTTACTTTATTTGACGGCCATACAAAAGACGATTAATTTCTGGTAAAACCTCATCTGGCAGATGCGTTTTTAAAATGTCATCAATAGTTGATTTATACATCCTTCAAATTATATCTCTTTATATTGATAAATTAGAAAAATTAACAAAAAAATATGTTAAATTCAAGATGTGAATACATAAAAAGAAACTGTAATAAATGTAAACAAAATCTATTGTTATATAACGAATCTTATCGTTATCAAAATTTCTCAGATCAGGGTAATTATATCCCAATGTAAATAAGAGACATTTTATTACTTAGAATAGTAGAAACCACTTTATTTGTCAAGTCGAATAATACAGTAAGTGTCATTTAAAATCGTACACCATTACGCTTATTAGATTTTTGAACGTTGTTAATGCAGTCATCACTGGTTAGGAACGTTAAATACATGTATTTTGGTTTAAATAATTCAACACACCTCAAATGATTGTTAATTAATCGAAGAAAATGTATATTGTTGTTTAAAAGCATGGATCTACTGTTCGATACACCATCCTCTTTGAAATCCCCCGTTAGACTAACTCGTTGTCCTCTATGTAAATTCTTTTATTGATTGTTATTTATATGACTTTCAGAAGAGTAAATTTTATTTATTAGGAATATTATTTACGTTATACGTATATAGCCTTCGGGGGAAATAATATAAACAATAATCAATAAAAGAACTTACATAGGGGACAACGAGCTAGTCTAACGGGGGATTTCGAAGAAGACGGTTCATTGAACGGTACATCCATATTTTTAAATTACAATATATATTTCCTTCGATTAATTAACAATCAATTAAGGTGTGTTGAATTATTTAAACCAAAATACATGTATTTAACGTTCCTAGCCAGTGATGACTGCATTTACAATGTTCAAAAATTTAATAAGCGTAATGATGTACGATTTTAAATGACACTCACTGTAGTTCAAAATTTGCATGCATGAATAGAAATAATTAACATTATTTTTTAATAATATTATTATTGAATTGTCATTGTCGTTAATGTTATACATTTTTATATTTCTGGACATCAAACTTAACTGTTTATAAAAGAAGAGAAGTTTTATAATATATATATATATATAAAACATGTACTGTGGCAAATTTTGTATTTCTTTTTAATTGTTTTATATAATAAATTAACGCGCTGCACACACACACAATTATATTTATATATTGTAAAAAATAATACACATTAGTATTTTATTAATCACTGTTTTTGAGGTTATTATTCTGATAATTTTGTAAACGAAAACATTTCCATAAGCCATATCGAGTTTCCCAATCAATGAAAAATAATTCTGGTTTGTACCAGAAAATATGATGTACTACAAAATTATATTGAGATTTAATTGGTGGATTTAAATGCGGAGCCCATTGTGCTCTTTCCATCATAATTTTGTTGACGTATTCATAAAATACTTTAGCATTATGAATCCAACATAAAAGAGACATAATTGATATAACTACAGCATGTATATGATGATCTGCTATGCTATGAAGATTATTTTCTTGTAAAATTAAATCTTGTAAGTTCATAGTTAAACAAACTAATGCTGCAGCCATGAAACTGCAAGGTACTTCAATTGCTATGATACACATTGTGCAATAACTAGTTTCTAAATTCATGCGGGATGTACGATGATTCAATATACTTTTAAGTAAACTATCGTGTAGAATTTCACGATGAACTTTAAAGAATATTTTATCTTCGTTGTAACAATTGCTAAATTTTAAACCGAAGTCTATATTTTCAAAGAAAATTTTAGGAGTATCAAAATGTAATCTATTTCCATTCCGATCAATCAAATATTGCATAACTCTATTACCTAATAAACTGACTATTTTACTATTCGATGCTATCATTTGCATCAATAGTGAAAATATTGTTGGCGTTAAAGTTTTTTCATACAGAGTCGCTTGATGCATATAAGCTGTATATTCTAAAATACCACCAAATTCCAATATAATATTATCATTCATATTTTTTTGCATAGTCCATGAGCACATATGATGTATAATGATGAGAAGTTGATCATTGGATAAATGTTTAATCATGTTTCTGAGACATATTTCTAAACCTTTTTTCAGTTTTTTACAAGAAATTAATGTATCATATGCATTTGTATTTTTTAAAGTTTTATAAAATAAGTTTAAAAGTCTTTCTATCGCAGTTACTGTGTCATTACTTTCAGGCCATTTATAAGTATCTAATATTTCATATAGAATTTTGATAATAGCTCTGTTGTCATACACATTCGTATTTATTCTATTTGATTCTACTAAGTCACAGATTGTATGAACGACTATTGAACCATTAACACCATGTTCCAATAAGATATTTGTTATCTCCAGACAAAAAGTTTCGAATTTCCACAATTTATCTTCATTAATTGTATTGATAACAGCATATACAATTTGTTTCGTTTTTGCAGGAACATATAATTTCAACAAAGAACGATAACAATTTTTTACAAATCGCATTTTTCGTCGACGTTTCCATTTACACACATTTGCTTTAGATATTTCTCCATAATAAAAAAGTATTTTAATCATAAGGGTCATTACTATATCCGGTTCATAATCTTTTAATTGATTCCGATCGGAAATTATTTTTATCATTTTGTTAAGAGCTTTACCTTGATACATCTGCAGATGTAAAAAATTTAAAAGATAATATTTACATACACGGTATAGCTTTTCGTTCGTTCAACTTTAGTAATCATTAAAACAAGACTCCTTTATGATATTAATATTAATATAATATTATATTTATATGTGCGTCTCTAACATAAAGAAGATAATTGAAAATGAATACCATTGTATATTATCAGTTTTTTAAAAAGAAGATACAACAGTATTTCAAATAATAGATTATATATATGTCTATATTGTCTTATGACTATAGTTTTTTAGTATTATGCGTATAGAAATTTAATATTTACAAAGGAGCAGAATGTTTAGTGGTATCTATGGATACTATTATTTTTTATACATCTATATATATATATATATCACTAATAGAATATATCACAGATTTCTATATATAATTCCTGACTTATACAAGATTGTTAAATTTTTACAATATAAAATATTAATTTTTCTTCGGTTTATATTTTTAATATACTTAAAACCAAAGATCACCACCAACGTCTTCTTCTTGCTGTAAAGGTTGTTGTTGATTTTCTTCTTTACATTGTGCAATATTATTCTCAGTATTAGTTTTATCTTCTCGTGCTGGTAGTCCAGCCAATAGAAAATCAGATGGATCATAATTTGGATCGACATCCATACTTTCATCTAAAAGCAATATTATAGATAATGCAAGTTGTTCTAAGCAATATTATAGATAATACAAGTTGTTCTAAGCAATATTTAGTTATTCGTTTAATTTATATATATTTATATATTTGTTTCTTATTTTTTAAATATCGGTTACCTTGTTGGAGTAATTGCTGTTCTCCCATATAAAATCCAACATTACCTAATTGTACCATTGCTTCCGCTGCTTGCTGACTGTCATCGTCAGCCAAAACTACTCCTCCTCTTTCTATTCTAACTTCACTTAATTCAAGCGTTTCCATTTCATTATGTTCAGATTGTTCATCTGTTCCAAATGGAACTTCATCAAATTCATCTTCGCTGGAGAATTGTAGATCTAAAATTACAAATGAGGGTTTTTACAATACAGTTGTATATTTTCAAATTAAAGAAAAATATTTTTTTAATATGCTTATATTTTACCTTCTTCAAGTACATCTTTTTTCTTAGAATGTACATTTCTTCCAGCATCAATTTCCATATCACCTTCCACATCAACAAAATCGAAATCATCAATGTTTGGTTTTCCAAATGGATTTTCTGGTGAACTAGTTTGACTCTGCAAAAAAATTAAAAAAAAAACGCTTATAATAGATTACAAATATTAATTTTATTAGATATTTATCAATTTCATTATTAATATTATAATAGATTAAACTTATAAATAATAAATTCTTACCCCTCTGAATTCAGGTTCTACAATAGTATAATTTTCTTCGTCTGGACCAAGCCACGAAGAATCTATATCTGCTTGCTCCATTGCTCGTTTTTGGACCAACAATATATTATTTTCTAGTTGAGTTACATGCTCATCGTACTGAAATATATGTTTTTATTTATTTAATGGCATTATAAGAATAATAAATATAGGATATATGCTGAAAAAATAAAGAGAGAACATCTGTGTTTTTCTTAATCTTACTTCGTCTAAGGTCTCTTTACAAACTTTAACAAGTACTTCAGCTTTTTGTGTAAATAGAGACTCTTTTCCATTGTAAATTATACAATTTTCCAAAATTTGTTCAATATCTCGAACGAATTCATGACGGCTGTGATATTTATGAGCTTTAAAAGAAATATGTATAAACAAAATTAATCAAAATATAACAGATGCATATATATCAGAACAATGTCGGATCAAAAATAACATCATTACCTGAAACTTTTTTTGAAATAGTCTCTAAATCCATTGGACGTTTAATTACATTATAATAATCCTTCACTGATTTCTTACTAACAGGTTTTATGAATGGCCAGGCTTCTGTCATGGATTTCAATTTATTATTGACAACATTGTCCAAAATAAATGTAAGAGCTACTTGATCATTGTCATCAAGAAGAGGATTAATTGCTTTTTCCAATCTCATTAAACGATCTTCTTTTTCACCAAGTTTTTCTACGCATGTGTCTAGTATACGTTTGGCTGTTGCTGTTAATGTGGAGTCTGGTCCATTATAAAGTGTAGAGTTTTCAACTATTTGATTAACATCAGCCAAAAATTCTTCTCTACTTTGGTATTTCTTTAATCTTAAATTTTCACGTATTGTTTGTAAATTCATAGGTTTTTGTATAATTTTATAATAATCAGTAACAACCTAAACAAATATTAATAAAATACACAGATATATCACATATGAATATGTAACTTTGATATATTACATATCAAAGTTTCACTTTTGTTTTTCTTAATTATTTACTCAAAATGAAAATATACCTTTGGATTAACTGGGAAAAGAAAAGGTTGAACATCTGGTAAATCTCTCAGTTCATTTAGGATATTTTCTAGCATAGTTGACATAACAACAACAGGATCAGTTCTACGACGATTGGCTGGTCTTTGTTGCCTCTTAAGATAATCACAGTGATCATCTCCAATAGCTCTTCTTCTTTTCTTCGAATTGACTGCTTCTTTTGGAACTTTTAATAGTAAAGTACGTCTTTTCATTTCTTCCGCGTGCTGTTTAAAAATTAAAAAATTAAAAAGTAGTAATATATTAAATATATTTAAATATGATATTTTATATAAGAAAAAATATTTCTAATATATAATATTGTAAAACCTTAATCAATTTAGATGATAATTTAACTTTTGTTCCATCGACATTAACAAGGTCCTGATCATCAGTATTAAGTTGCTTCTCTATTTCTTCTTCTTGTTCTTCAGTCATAGCAACATTAACTGGAGCAGTTGTTACATTATTTTGGTATAATGGACAAGCTTTATTAGTTCGCATGTGACCTACGTTACCACAAGCACCGCATTTTAATTTTAAATCTGGTTTGAGTTTAGGTTTTTTACGTTTAGAAGGAGAAATTTCAGGTTTAGGATGTTTAGAAGCTGGGGAAGTGGATTGGTAATTACAGAATGGAAGGATACTAGTAGAGGATGTAGTGGTAGGAGTATTAGTGCTGCTGCGATCAAACATAGGATTAATGGAGCTGCTTGGGCCAATGAAACCACCACCTTGCATACGTTCTCGTTCTTGATTTCGTTTTATTCTTCTTAATTGCTCTTGGATTCTTCTCTTTTCTCTTTTCATTTCTTCTTTTTGTGCTTCATCTAATGTAGCAAACTGTTTAATAAATGTTTCATCTTTAGAATTTCTTATCTTTAAATAAGTGTCTATTACAGCTGGCTTTCTAACTAATTCAACTCTAGTGAATTCTTTTCCTTCTTGATTTCTAAAAGTGCGATAAATCTTAAGTAATCTTCCTTGCTGCGTGCCAAAATTGTTAACAGGATTGTTGTCTTCCTCTTCGTCTCTTTTTTTTTCTTTAGGTTTTTTATCTTGTTCCTGCACTTCGTCTATCATCATTTTTCGCAATGCATGCCTCTGTTGCTCTTCTCGTTCCAAGGATAATTGAGTACTCGTTTTTTTATTAGATAACATATTCTCTATATTTTTACCCATTTCCTCTATATCAGAACTATCTTCTTCGGAACTTTCACCTTCATCTGTACTTAGAACCTCATTGGATGACAAAACACGATTTTGTAAGTCAAAGATTCTTTGACATTCTTCTTTATATCTTTCTTGGTGCTCTGCTATAGAAAATCTATTACCTCGTGAAAACTTTGTCATACCTTCTTCTCCAGCTTTTGCTTTTTCGGTAGATAATGTTCTTACCACATCTATAACTTCCCAACGTGAAAGCTTTTTTATTTCTTCTTCTGGAACACCAAACTTTCTAAGAAGTGCCTTTGCATTATTTAATGAAAGTCTTCTTAAATCTGCATCCGTTCCTGTTACTGTTCTTTTTGGCTGTGCTTCTTGTTCTTCCTATTTTATTAAGATATTAATTTAATAAATAGATAAAGAAAAAAAGAAAAATATAATATTAATAATATAAAACATTATACTAACTTTACTGATAGTTGGCTTATTGGGTACTCTAACATATGAGAAGCCTTCACCACACCCTGTTGGATCAGCTGGACCAGCTAGTTGCAATAAACATTTTCCTTTCATAGCTTGAATATATGCACGAGTTGTATTCCATGGGGCCACTTTGACTTCATCATCCATCTTCAATTGCATTTCTTCATCGTCATCATCTTGAGGTGTAAACAGGAATTTTTCACCATATCCAGCATCTTTTAATCTTTGTTCTGCTGCAATCATACTAAAGTAGGAACAGCATTGTTCTGGAGATACCATAGCTCTAATTTCTTCTTCCGTTGGTAATCTGAAATCTGGCTTTATTACCCACCAATTGGAGTCCATTCCTATACAAAAATTAAAACATAGATTGCTTATGCTTAATATACAAATTATTCTTATTCATAAAAATATATATATGTACCTGTTCTTTTAAAATCAGCGCATAGTTTTAATCGCTTTCTAATACTACTCTCACTATGAGAAGGAAAAGCTTTTTTAATGTCATCCATCTTAATTCGTCTAGGCGTATCTCTAGATTTCCAAAATAATCTATAAATAAAGACCTGTAAGAAATCTCTTACAAAATTATTTGCTCTTTTGGAATTTGGTCCAGGTACCTCATATAGAGGACATTCTTGGCCTGCAACAAATAGTGCATCCATTTCTCTTATAAAATATTGTTGCCTGGTCCTAATAATTAGAAAGTCAGTCTCAGGAATTTTATGTTCATAAATTGGAGCCCTGTACATATTATTTTCAACAGCTTGTATGCTTTGACCAGGTGTAAGAATTCCAAGAAATGGACTGGTATGGGCATAAGCCGTTTCTCCATATTTGTATTTTTGTGGACCTTGATCTTTTCCTGCTTTTCTTTTATAATAATTTTTTACTTTTGAACACATTCCTACTTGATTTATTAACGGTGGATGTTCTTCAGAAAATTCAATGAGAACTATTTCACCATCTCTTCCTGTTAAATCTTCAGCTGTTCTCATGAAGAAAACATCACCACCACCAGATGCAATTCTTTCTTGTTCTCTTTGTTTTGCCTTCTTTTTAATATGTTTGATCAAAGGTAGAACACTATGTGGACCAGGTAGTGCAAGTGGACCATGACTGTATCTTCGCAATGGTGGCCTATG